TGGCCATGGCTAACATCAGTGGCGAGTGAAATCTGAACCGGTCTTGGCCTCCCCTTTTCCCCAGCCCACAATGCGCAGCATGGTGGAGTATTTTCAAGCAACACCCCCCCCCCCCATGCCCAACAACGGCGTGGGGAGGCCAATCATCCAGTCGTGGATGGTAGCAATGATGTTTGATTGGTTTTATAAGTTAACCTCTGGTGTTCTTGGCTCTTTCGGTAAAGTCACGTAGATAGGTTAAAATACCCAAGAATATGAATTCCTGCAGTCACGAAAGCTTTAAGTCAAGATTTAACCTGTATGGTGTTTTTCCCGAGCATTGTAATACCGTTCGTCTCACTAGAAAATGTAGCTTATTGACCTACAGTGATCTTTTTAGCCAACACTAGTGTTAACGGGCCTGCTCTTTAATCCCATCATCATCGGATTTTTCAATAACCACAGACCTATTTACATGAAATGTATGGCATTTCCTACAGCACGGTACCCACCCATTAGCGTCATGTACTGACATGAGTTGTACACGAGCGAAGAAGGTATAGTGGCCCCCTACTTCGCTCTTGGTGCCATTACCTGCTGCAAGTTGACATGTGCCATGTCCTCGGTCATCTTCCATGTAAGTAGCAGAGAACGCAAGCCCTGCAGGGCTTCCACGAATTGGTGGGAATCAGGCTACAGGGGTGATGTGGCTGTTCGCCATACTGTGTCGCAGCAGGGCCTCTTTCACAGGCAGACACGAGTTGGACGCCCCTCCTCCCAGGTGCTTTATAATTTAACAGAGCATTTAGCTCTTAACCACCGAAAGAGATATGGAAAATATGCCATTACCATGGACAAATTAATTGACAGTTCAAGTAAGCTTAGTAATAATAATTAGTTCGTGTAATTTTGGGTTCTGCTTTTTTAACACCTGCATATCACAAGATATATAGGAGGTATAGAATGTAAACATTATTAAATATGCATAATGCAATGCCTGGTTGGCTATTTACTAGTTTTCAGTTTTGTCCAAAGCTCTCCTTATCAATTCTTCGTGCCACAAAATACATTTTATCGCACCAATGTGAAAGTTGTATGTTTTACTAGCTTTACTACCCGGCTTCACCCGGGACTTAGATTCACCACGCCCGGCCGCCTTTGTCTCCCCAGTGGCGATGTTCACACACCACGCCAGTTACTCGTTTGAGGCTGAGACGACCTCGGGGAGGCCCAGGACCGGTTCAAATAATCGTCACCGGCGGTGGCCGTGAGCGGGAATCGAACTCGGGTCGCCGGGTTCATAGCGCAGCGTGCTACCACTCCCCCCCACACACACACACGCGCGCGCGTCTATAGGTACACATACACGCGCTTGCTGCAGACACACACAACTTTCAGGGTGCGTACGGCAGTAAACGCCTCAAATAATAAAGCAATACTGCGCGAAGAACGCCTTAGACCTGCAACACATTTGTATGGCACTTTACGCGCGGAGGGTTGGAGGGGGATGCGTGACATCAGCAGCCACACTGCGTAACGCTTCCGCATGCGGGTGACATCACAGATGTGACGTCACAGCTCACTTGCCGTGCAAAATATATCCATTATTGCGCCCCCCCCCCCCCCCCAAAAATACAATAGTCTATTTTTATACTTTTTGCATTGTGTGCAGTCTGGAAACTACCCACATGCCAAATTTCAAGTTTGTTGCATGTCAAGAAGTATGCTAAACATTTTGAACAGACACACATTCACAAATTTCCCTTTTATATATATAGATAACTTGAACAACACTTTAATTTTTGTAAATCAACTGCTCACACTTCGTCTGGCCGTGCTAACTGTTATCACAATAGCTATCTTAAGTTCAAACTAAATTGTGTCTGTAATTAAATGAGCATTGGGATCGGTCATAAAATGATGAATTTATCACATTCGTTGAAGGGATCCAGCATCTGGAAGCATTGAACAGCCACCATTGACTTCTAACAGAGTAGTAGATATTTTATTGACCTTGGTGGAATGGGCCGAGTCTAATCCCAGCAAGGATTTGATCTTGCAAACCCATGATTGTAAGCCAGGAAACATAGGAGTGTCACTTGGCCGGATATATAATAGCCATCTCTGCATTATTGGATGCTGCCTCCCGCCAGATCTCTCGAAAGGTTATGAGCTCATTCGTGTTTAGTTCTCAAAAGTACACTGTCTCTTCGTTTCTCCCTGGTGATCTACTAATCCTATTCATCCACTTTCTTATTGCAAAATAACTTTTGTCCGCATGGAAACCCGCAGATTAACGTGGACAAATAAGAGCGATTTTCCCACTACTTCCCATTAACTTCTCTAACTTGCAGAACGGCTGTGGCTAACCAGAGTTATTATGTAACTTCTGGGCACCACTTCCGAGTACTGCTGATGTGCCCGCAGCACCACAAATTACCACCTCCCCACTACCATCACATTATCACTAGCACCATTATCATCATCATCCATTGTCTATCCACTGCTCAATGAAGATCTCTCTATGCCCTCGCCGTCTTTTGTTGCCAAAATCATCTCGTGCCCATAAATGACCTCATCTCGTTGCTCCATCTCCACGGCGGTTGACCTTCACCCGGCGCAGTGGTGCGCACGCTGCGCTATCGCACGTCCTTAGTACGAGGCTGTGCATGGTGCGACATTGCTTTTTAGCTCGGTGAGACGCAGCAGCGCAACAGCACACTTAAACTGTATTAGCATCATCATCAGGATCGCAATAGATCATAATCTGTCCATCTGTATCATCAATCAGTCATAATCCATCAACAATTCATTATTATCATCATCTTCAACACCATCATTATATTCAACATCACAGATACTGTTGTTATTAATCCACGATAGTATAGGAGGTTGTGAATAAATGTGGTTATTGGGGGGAATTTTGCATTCTCCTCAAGGTATGTTCGGATCGTCTTCCGGAACTGCTGCCAACATTTGCAGCAAAACGTTGAACATCATGCTGAGCAGTACGTGGTACAACCTGAAAAACAGAGCTATGCAGCGCAACCGTGAAAACCTACGCAGTCGTTTTATATCCTAGAAATAGCTATGGGAACAGGAGTCGCCTTCGGCAGTGTTTGTGAGACGATGAGTTATTGCTGCCACTTTTGGGTGACCCCTCTTTTCTGAGAAATCCTAATAAATTTACAGACCTACGTCAATCCACTGCTCGACAAAGGCCTCCCCGAGGTCTGTCAGTCATGGCGGTTGTTTAGCATTGTTTCACCATGTTGACCAGTGTGGGTTGGTGAAAGGGGGGCTCAGAACCGGTTCAGATATCACTCCACTGATGTTAGCCATGGCCCAGAGTTGAAGTCTGGTTAGCAAATTCTTAGCCCATTGCAACTTTTGTTGCTCCTATTATACAAGCAGTCTTTCTGCAGATAATATTTTCCATTGATAGATAATGTTTGTTGATATTAGGAGTTTCAGATAAGTCACGGATAAGAGCATACCCGCTGCAACTGGACTTGACTATTGCATTGATATAGTTTTTGTATTGATATTCTGATGTACTATGTATGCTATGTATGTGCGTTGCCTTGGTAAGTCTTTTAATGGATAAAGTCAAGCGAGCACTCCTATAGTTTTTTTTGTTTTGTTTGTTGTTGTAGCTTTCTGATCTGCCCCTACTGGACATCTGTGAAAACGAGCTTCATAGCTCATCCAATTTCTCCAGGGTAAATAAAGATTCTGATTCTGAGCATGTTAAACATAGTACACGAGCCCTTTAGAATGCCTACACAACTGTAACGTGCACGTAAAGAGGCGCAGATGGGCATTTATGGCTGTATCCCAGGAAAGCTGTTTTTGCAGAATGACAGGGCTGTGTTTGGCACGGATGTGCCTGGCTAGAAACCAAAATTGTGGGTTTATCTTGAGCAGTTTGAGCTCTGACAATTGTTCCAGCAGTAAGAGCATGGGCAGAAAGTGGGTCCCTGGCAATTAATATTTTACATGGAGATTCCCCAAGCTGTTGGTAGCAATGAAAACCGGTAATGGTTTTCACCATGTCCCAAAACTGTTCTACTGAGCTTGTTGTGTTTTATTAATCCGGGGGTGACAGGATGCCACCAAGCTTGCAGATGCCATTTATAGGCTATTTGCTTTATTTGTAGTGCACCATGTTTAACTGAACATAAACAGATGATGCACGCTTTCAATCCAGAAATGTAAATAAAAAAATGTGTTGGTGAATAATACAGGGCAGTCCTCAGTCACCTCTTCCAACAAGTTTCATGGGAGAAATACATAAACACTTGCTGAGCAATTAGATATGCCCAGAGGACAGTGCAGTAAGTAGGTTTCTTACATATCTGATGGGATTGAGTATTGGACTCCTGTTGTGTGTGAAAAATAGATGAGCAATAAATGTCTCCTCATATACATGTCTGTCCACATAATTAACAACCTATCGGCCACTATTAACCGAGTTCATTATCCGTTCCCCCTCCCACCACATCCACCCTCTGTGTACGCCCCCTTCTGAAAGTGCTGGACATGTGAAAATGCCCAATAACAAAAAATATTTTAAAAACATATCAGCCGTACAGCCTTCTGGGAGTGCATAATTTCAGCTACAGTAATTCAGAATAAGCAAAATATTGACCAGTTTCGGCATAAAGTGTCTCCGGCAGAGTCAGGCTTGCTTAAACCAATGCTTGCAAACTGCCAGATGTTACAAGCAAGTACCCTTCCTTGAAGATATGATATAATACGTAATTCTAAATCGGCATCGTGAAGAGTACAATGTATATTGTGGAGAATATAAGTAACACATTAAGCTATATTCAGGAGAACTATTTGAATGCTTATCTTGTATTTGTGGGATTTCTCTGGGCACTGATTCACAACTTACAACAGTACAAATAAAGGATTGGCCTCTATTCCCAGCTGGACCTCCATCAATGTCATTGATCCGAGGGTATACTATTAAAATTATTATGCTGCATTAATCTGGAGCTTGTGTGTGTTCACAGAGTGCTGTCTTCTGTGACTCTACGTCGTCCGGGCGCTAACGCCGCTCCACTCATTTCCGCGATGGCGATGAACATGGCCGACAACCACAAGGAGAGCTGGGAGGCGCTCGTGAACCAGGTGGAGAAGTACCGCCGCCAGACAGGCAACGAAGTGGCGCTGCTCACCGCCTACCAGCCCCGCACGCAGCCCGGCGTTCTGGCGTACGCCGTGCAGGGTGGCGGCACTCTCGTCGAGGCCACCCGCCGCTTCCTTGACGACATCGCTGTCTGCCACCGAGCCACCATTCTCGTGGCGGCGCGCAAGATCCAGGGGGCGGCAGCAGTGCCAGCGCAGCCCGACAAGCAGGGGGCCAACACCGCCGCGGGCTCCGACAGAGACATTTACTCGCAGAGCTACCCCTCCATCTACGGCCGCGGCTCCTTCTCCGCCACGCCAACGGGCGTGCGGGAGCCGGTGTCGCTCGTGCTGCACAAGGAGCGCAGCGGCGAGCCGGTGCCCAGCCTAGACCGCGCAGACGCCGGGCAGCCGGTGAAACGCAGCATACAGCAGCAGCAGCAGCAGGAGGAGGACGACGATGAGGACGACGAGGAGGAGGACGAAGAGGAGAGGCGACGTGACAGCCGCGATGCCGGAGGTCAGTCTTACTCGGTCGCCCGTTCTGGCCAAATCCACCGTATATTGTATACTGTTGTTTTAAGATATTTTAACTTTATGTTGGTGGATCACACGAGCTCTGCGTGCAATCAACGACGGCCTTCCTTGGGATTGGAGGTGGCCCAGGGGCAGGCCAAAGCATGGTTGAGGCCCGTTTCGGACATCGCGATCTCCGCGGCATATACTCGACATACTATCGGGCACGTAACAAGGTTGTCTGGCGATGTCTCGTGAGGAACACTACATCTCGAGCTGGGGGGGGGGGGCTGCCACTGATTGTGTTAAGCTGTAGCATCACATGCAACTGTTGTACTCGGCCTGTGCAAGGATTGTGTTGCCTAATCGAGCTGTGGAAACAAATATAACATGGCAAAAACTTTACTATGAATGTAATAGCTGCCTGTGTGGTCGCTAATGTATTGTCTCCCTTGATGAACATCAATACAAATTCAAATTGTATGCTTTTTTTAGCTGCATCCCCTGCTGTCATCTCATGCGGTGACATCACCTTCACTTCTTTCTCTTCTCTTTCTGCACCATTATTAGGAATCTTCTACAATGTCATTATAATCACAGCTTGTATAATCATAACACATTGCGGTGGCATTCAGCTATGTTGGGACCACATTTATGTCTCTTCGTCCGTCTATCAAGGCTTTTCATACACAGTGTGCTGGAATAAAACCGTTTTGTACGTAATTGACACTGTAAATACGCAGCATTGCAGTGTCATTCCGAGAGGCGGTATTGTCAACGGCTCTTAAACGCAAGAGTGTCACCACGAGCAATTTTTGAGGAAGTGCGTGTCTTTTGGTGTCGTTCACATGCAACATGTAATGGCACCCATTCATGCCGTAGGGTTTCATGATTTGAGCCCCACATATACTGGGATCATTGTGCTCGGACGCCAGGTGTCACATGACACTGCAGATACACAGCTGGTATGTTGGTTGTCATTGCTTATTGCTCGGCTTTCAAGCATCAGAATTTGAATATTTAGATGTCTGTACACAGCCTGGCTGTTTATCGTCACATTATTATGGTGTGTATCGTCAGCTCCTTACATTGTTAATCTGACCTTTGATGATGGTTAACCTCACAAATCTGCTGAAACCAACTGCCTGCCTACACCTACAGACGTGTCGGTATGTGATTAGAACGGTTCAGCAGGTAGGTAGCCATCCATCATGTAAAGCATGTGGTAGCCTAAATCTTGACTTCAAGCTTTTGTGACTGCACAAATTAATAATCTTTTGATCGCAACACCAATGGTCGTCTTCAGACGACCGCTTGTGTTGTGATCAAAACGTCGTAGTTTTTGTTTTTTGTTATTTGCTTTGAACCTATCTACGTGACTTTAACGAAAGACTCTAATAACATGTGGTAGCCTATTGAGACAACGTGTCTGGTTCTAGTTACACGCATTGTTGTTGTAAGTGCACCGTGTTGGGATGTTCGTGCTGTAATATGATGCAACCCTTGTTGGTGCAATTTCAATGACCCCCGTTGCCAGATCAGACTAAATAACTCCTAGCGCAGCCAGCAAGAACCATTCAGATGGCATTTTTGGGCGAATAAGAACTGGTTTTTGTGGTGCCTAACTGGTTTTCTTTGGTCAGGGATGGCACCGATCGGCTTTAAAACAAAGGCAACAAATATGTAACCTGGTCAGCTCATGGACTCTACCATTATTGATGGCGCTGCAGAGAAAAAGGCCCTTGCCTGTGTTCAGCTCATCCATAGAGGTGCCCTTTGACCAAATAGTGTCCCGTTAATCATTATTTCACCTTTTCCAGACAGCCGGAGTAAGTGTGGGTTTTGTCGGGGATTCATAGTAGGTCCCGTTATTTTAATTGCTTGGATCTAATCACAGACACACGCGCAGTGGCCCACATTTGTCAATGATGTTACAACGTATTGACACAATTTAAGTGCGTGTGTGTGTCGTGCAAAATATAAGTAACACAAATGAATATGCAGACAGATATATATTCATAATAACGATATTGTATACTGTTGACGATAATAACGTCTCTTTACATGAAAACGAAAAGTATTGTTTCCACAACCCAATGGCACCCACGGCCTTTTGGGAATGCATAATACAGGTAGTCCCTGACTTACGATGGAGATGCGTTACGACGACCCCATCGTAAGTCGAAAATATCGTAAGTCGAAAATTGCCTAGCCTACCCAGGAGTCTTAAAGAATGTTGATAATTGAGTAAAACAGAGCAATTTACAGTACCGTACTGTATAAACTGTATACTGTATGTATTTATTAATTGAAATACTGTATTGCACAGTAAAATTTTAAGTAAAAAACAAGGTAAATTCGTAGCCTACCTATATGAACTGCAATTTCATACAGTTTTTTCAGGAAACAATCCTATCTGCTATAAAAACTTTGAACATGCATTGAACACCGAGACAACTTAACTCCATCGACCGCTGGTGAGAGTGAGAGGCATCGCCACACAAGGCGGGAGATGCGTACAGAACATCCCGGCTGCGTCCCAACATACAGCATCGTACCTTGTACGCTGCTGCGTTTGCCTGTCACGCGAAATGTAAAATATTTAACAATTATTGTCATATCACCATCGTAAGATCGAAATATCGTAAGTCGGACCATCGTAAGTCGGGGACTACCTGTATCGGCAGCGTTAATTCATCCATCCCCTTGCCTACAGACATCTGGCGGCTCACTCGCATTGATGCAAGCAAGCCTGTGACTGCTGATGTGACTACAAACCGGCCCAGAGTTTGTCCTGAATCGGTGCTGCTGAAATGTGTTTAGATTTGATGATCCTATATAGCCTTGATAGAAATTAATATTTACAGGCTAAAATTATTCACTCCCAGAAGGCCGTGGAGCTGACGGGTTGTGTAAGAAATCTTTTTACATCTTATGTGGAGAGACCGATCTATGAAGGAGACATTCTCTGCTTATCTATTTCACCACAGTGTTAAACGGAATTTCATAAACAGGAGACAGGCATTGTATCGTCGAGCTGTAGTTCCAAAATTATTGTATTCATCGCCTCTTACACTCTCAGCTCGCGTACAGTGCACCTGATTTGCATTTTACCAGTCTGTGGTAAAAATCAGTGGTGGGGCTGATGTTGAACTTGAGGCAATGATTAACACGAGTGACACATCCTTGGTCCACCACTCTTTTACGGGTTCATCAGAATGTGTCAGACAGCCCAGCCGTGGCATCACATGAGCACACTGGTTTGGCCTCCGTGCCGTTTGGCACGGCAATTGTGCACACGTGACCCGCCCGACTGCATCCACCTGCACAAACACACGTCAGCAGCGCACGTGTGCTCGGACCACCCCTCGCGTCATTCAAAGCTTGTTGACCGGTCATCACCGCTTGCTTGCCTGCCTGCTGCACAAAGCACAGCCACTGATGTCCATGACAGTTGTTTACAGCCTTACCTGTAGAGAACAGCCTGATCCTCGAAGACCGGTACAGTTACAGTAATTGTTGAACCATCGTTCAGGTGAATTCAGGAGCTTAGCACGACTTGTTTACAGGAAGGGTCTGCTTTGAACGCTTGCGGTGATTTTACGCTGCTTGCCTTGCCACGTCAACAGAACCCGACGGCGTTCTCGAATAATCCCCCGCGTTTGTCTGAGGGCGAATGGCATGTGCCTATACCCCAGCCCTCAGCATGCTAGCTTGAACTCGAGACCCATGATCTTGCAGGCAAGCCCTGTGTGTCCAGACAGCTAATTACGCTCGTGCGCAGCCTGATCCGTGAGGAATGTGGCGAATGCACAAATTCTACAGTTTGGCATCGATGTGTTTTTTTGTCGGAATCATTCAGACTTTGATCAGTGAAACTTGAGGCTCGTTCTCTGTTAAGGCACCATATTGATATTTCCTCCCTGAGCATATTCATCAAAATTACGTTAGAACAATGTAGCGTATCTTTAAACGATTGCAAATACACATTGCCTTTTATAATTAAATTTGGGGAAACTGGTAGGGGATACTTAATACAACACTGTTTGTAAAGGATTTGCTTGGAACACTGGGATACAAATGGCAATCAAATGCAGGGGCCTGCATGTTTTTCTATGGTATTGTAGAGTCGTCATTTTTACAACTGGAATAACATGGGTCGAGTTAGCTATCACATTGTACAGCAACATATTTTATATTGCTTTGCACCTTGGAAAAAATACTATCACACAGGTTGAAAGTCTCTAAATTACCTTACAGTGAATCAAAATAAGTAGGAGATGGGTTTGAGTCACAGATAGAAAATATAATTATTTATATTCCGTTTTCTCAAAAAACTTTGCTAAAACAAAGCAATGTAGCCTGTTTTCGAGCTGTGACTAGTCTGCGAAGAGGAGTAACCGATTTAATTTTTTCGTGGTCTATTACTTGAGTGTCCCTTTAAAAATGGTTTCCACACCCACATCCAGCCTCCTGAAGACAGGAAACCCCTACAATCCACTCCCAGCGTGACGTGGCTGTTTGATACCAATCATGCCACCAAGCTCTCCTATCACCTCCCGTCCAGCAGCACATGTAAGTTCCAGACTGTTTTTAAGTTACTTTCTTTCAGCAGGTTATGGCACTGTTAAACGAATCACAGTTGACACTCCTAGACGCTCAGGGCAAGGGCCATCCTCGAACAATAGGTGGGTCAAAAGTCAAACTAAACTAACAATCATCAGTGCAGTGGGTGGTGCTCTTTCCCACCTGTAGTCTTTAGCTAGTGGTGGAAAGTCTAGTCCTCTCCACTTGAAGAACAACATAAGGCACCAAAAATAGTCGCAGCAGTTTATGGGGAATTCTGAAATAGGCAGTTGGTGGCCATGTGGCCGTATACGACAGAATGCCGGACTGGAACTTTCGCAACAACACTAACCATGTATTCAGGCCCCATTTCAGAACGTTTTAACACAAATCTACACTGGTGTCTTGAGGGCAGTGGGCGAAAGAGGTGTCATACCA